CCTGAGACCTGGAACTCCAGGTGAGTGGTGCGTGCAGGGACCACCAGGTTAGAGAGGCAGCAGCCATGCGGTGTGAGGCGTTTGTGTAGCCTGTGCGGAGAGGAGAGAACAGGGATAGGCAGAGGCATAGTTGACAGGCTGCAGCAAATGGCTACAATAATGCAGAGGAGATCGGAATGAAATGAACTAAACATCTGGGAAAGGAGAGAGCGGGCCTCCCTCACCACAACTCCCAAATATAACTCTCCCAACTTCCACCTCAGAAACTATAATTGTTGTAAACTACAGCGGTTCAATGTTTTCTATGAATAGACTAACTCAGCTAGCTAACTAGGCGCAGCACGAACGGCACGAACACACAGAGAGAGCCAAACTAACGTTAACTAGTCACCCATGTCCCGAATTCCCTGAACGACTCGGGCTATCAATATGTAAAAAAAAAAAAACACAAATGTAGGTTATGACTTACCCCTAGCAGCTACTGTTAGCTAGCCAAGTGCAAAGCTAGCCACTGAATTGACTCAGCCAGTTCGCGTCTGTTCGCTAGGTCGTTCCAGCTATTGTTTACCAGTAGCTATCCAGGTAGCAACAAGCTAGCTAAATTTCAAGCACAGTAGCCACTTGCTACCTAACGTTAACGGTTCAGACATGAGGTTAGAAAACAGCTGAATAGTAGGCAATTATTGTATGTAATCATTGTAGGCAGCCAGCTGGTGTAACCACAGGCACTCCCAGGCGTGAACTAACTATACCGTTGCTAATTGCTACTCGCCAGCTAGTCCAGGTGGAGGGTTAGCCAGCTAGCTTCGTGCTACGCCCGGCGCCGCCGAATACAATACTAACCTACAATAATTACATACAACAACCCACGATAACTACCAACAATACCTAACTACAATCTAAATACATATGTAGGTTATGACTTACCCCTAGCAGCTACTGTTATGACTTACCCCTAGCATCACCCTTATCTATCACTGCCCAACCATAATACCTACAAGTTTTTTGTTTTTTTTAAGGCCCAATTCAGCCGTTCTCAATATCAAATCATTTCTGGGTAACAATTAAGTACCTTGCTGTGATTGTTTTCAATTAAAATGGTCAAAAAGAAACACAAATAGCTTCTTAGCAAAGAGCAATTTCTCAAGCAAGAATTTTGCTCGGACTGTCTGGGAGTGGTCTAAGTGGGAAGGGGAAAACTGAAAACTAGCCATTTGTAAGAGGTGATTTGAAGGAGTCAGGCGCTTGAGGGTAAATCACAGAATACAGAGTTTATTCCGTAGTACAGAGTAATGCTGGATAGCGTCAAACAGGCGCACTGGAACAAAACAGTCACACAGGGAAAATATACCCCGGCAATACAACGTACACGTAGCTCAACCGAGCTACTCTCTCCTCACATTAAACAGAGGGAACACTTATACGTGTACTAATGAGGGGATATGAACCAGGTGTGTGTAATAGACAAGACAAAACAAATGGAATGATGAGATATGGAGCGGCAGTGGCTAGAAGGCCGGTGACGACGAACACCGAAGCCTGCCTGAACAAGGAGAGGAGGCAGCTTCGGAGGAAGTCGTGACACCATTATTGGCGGAGAGATTTGGAACTCTCTTTCTTATTGGTTTATCAACTAATTTACCACCTGGTGATGTTACCAGGCAGGCCAAAACTCCATCCCACCAAAACATGCTCAAATGTCAGGCGGTCTTTTCAAACAGCTCTTACACTAAAAGGGCATTATCATAATTTTCACAATGTCACAGAATTAGCGGAGAGTGGGTTAAGTTGAGCCACCTACAAAATTAATAATTTCACCTAATATTTAGGAAGAGGTCATAATGTCATGGAGTCTGTGAAGGAAGAGACCACATGGAAAAAGTGGTAAGCAATTTAGGTCCAAAAAACTGATTTTCACGAAGTCAAATTAATGTGTTGTGTTTGAGGTTTCATGATGCTTGTATCTAAACCAAAGAAGATCATTTAAAGATTTTTCTATACAGTCGTGGTCAAAAGTTTTGAGAATTACACAAATATTAATTTTCACAAAGTCTGCTGCCTCAGTTTTTATGATGGCAATTTGCATACACTCCAGAATGTTATGAAGAGTGATCAGATGAATTGCAATTAATTGCAAAGTCCCTCTTTTCCATGAAAATGAACGTAATCCCCAAAAAACATTTCCACTGCATTTCAGCCCTGCCACAAAAGGACCAGCTGACATCATGTCAGTGATTCTCTTGTTAACACAGGTGAAAGTGTTGACGAGGACAAGGCTGGAGATCACTCTGTTATGCTGATTGAGTTAGAATAACATACTGGAAGCTTTAAAAGGAAGGTGGTGCTTGAAATCGTTGTTCTTCCTCTGTTAACCATGGTTACCTGCAAGGAAACACGTGCTGTCATCATTGCTTTGCACAAAAAGGGCTTCACAGGCAAGGATATTGCTGCTAGTAAGATTGCACCTAAATCAACCATTTATCGGATCATCAAGAACTTCAAGGAGAGAGGTTCAATTGTTGTGAAGAAGGCTTCAGGGCGCCCAAGAAAGTCCAGCAAGTGCCAGGACTGTCTCCTAAAGTTGATTCAGCTGTGGGATCGGGGCACCACCAGTGCAGAGCTTGCTCAGGAATGGCAGCAGGCAGGTGTGAGTGCATCTGCACGCATAGTGAGGCAAAGACTTTTGGAGGATGGCCTGGTGTCAAGAAGGGCAGCGAGGAAGCCACTTCTCTCCAAGAAAAACATCAGGGACAGACTGATATTCTGCCAAAGGTACAGGGATTGGACTGCTGAGGACTGGGGTAAAGTCATTTTCTCTGATGAATTCCCTTTCCGATTGTTTAGGGCATCCGGAACACACCTTGTCCAGAGAAGACAAGGTGAGCGCTACCATCAGTCCTGTGTCGTGCCAACAGTAAAGCATCCTGAGACCATTCAAGTGTGGGGTTGCTTCTCAGCCAAGGGAGTGGGCTCACTCACAATTTTGCCTAAGAACACAGCCATGAATAAAGAATGGTACCAACACATCCTCCGAGAGCAACTTCTCCCAACCATCCAAGAACAGTTTGATGACGAACACTCCCTTTTCCAGCATGACGGAGCACCTTGCCATGAGGCAAAAGTGATAACTAAGTGGCTCAGGGAACAAAACATCAACATTTTGGGTCCATGGCCAGGAAACTCCCCTGACCTTAATCCCATTGAGAACTTGTGGTCAATCCTCAAGAGGCGGGAGGACAAACAATAACCCACAAATTCTGACAAACTCTAAGCATTGATTATGCAAGAATGGGCTGCCATCAGTCAGGATGTGGCCCAGAAGTTAATTGACAGCATGCCAGGGCGGATTGCAGAGGTCTTGAAAAAGAAGGGTCAATACTGCAAATACTGACTCTTTGCATAAACGTTATGTAATTGTCAATAAAAGCCTTTGACACTTATGGAATGCTTGTAATTATACTTCAGTATACCATAGTAACATCTGACAAAAATATCTAAAAACACTGAAGCAGCAAACTTTGTGAAGACCAATACTTGTGTCATTCTCAAAACTTTTGACCACAAGTGTACATCAGTTGGGGTCTCTATAAGCTTCAATATGAGATTATAAACCTAGCATGAAAGTGCGTCCTTGTAGCTGTGTGGGCTAACATAGTCAAAATGTTTGCCTTGGGGTAAGTTGAGCCAATGTCCATGGGGTAAGCCAATGGTTGAGCCAATGGAAAGTTGAGCAAATTGAAGTGTTTACTTCCCAGGCGTAATGCAATGCATTATCGCTGGGATATGAGGTAAGAACAGGGCCTGGCCTATGTGAAAAGTACAAAGTGTTTGTTAGGTGTCAAGGGTTATATATTTATATTTTGTCATTTAGCAGACACTCTTATCCAGAGCAAATAGGGTTAAGTGCCTTGCTCAAGGGCACAGACAGATTTTTTCACCTAGTCGGCTCAGGGATTAGAACCAGCGACCTTTCTGATACTGGCACAACGCTCTTAACCACTAAGCTACCTGCCGCCCTAAAAAAGTGATTGTGTTGAATTGTGTTTGGGAAATAAAGATAGACATGGTTTTAAAAGGGTAGTGGTAATATTTCATTCAGTACAGCAATGTGTAGACGGCTTAACTTACCCTGTCCCGTGGCTCAACTTAACCCATACCCAGGGTAAGTTGTGCCAAGACACCACAACATGGACAAGCTATGTTTTCAAAATGTTTACAGAAATTCAGATTATTTCCAGGGATACATAACATCCTGAAATATATGTAGATATCTTTATTAGAAAGAATATGATATTTCCCTTGATGGAGTGATGCTGAATGTAAACAATGGCTCAATTTACCACACTCTCGCCTATTCAACCTCATAGTGTGGAAATATATATAAAGCACAGGACATCACGTTTTTGACTGCACTAGACCTTTAATAATGTTGTGTTTCACATAGATATTAAATTGTGTTAGATATTTCTGAGCGTAAGGTGCAAGGTCAGACAATCTTGACTTCCTTTGATGTTTAGATGTGCTGTCTGTAATCACCCTCATGAGTCAAACCTATTCATAAATGTTTTACTCAGTACTGATTTGCAAAGTCTTTATTACATTTGTCAAACTGTATGATGAAGAAACAAATACTGTATTGCAGTTTAAAATTAATTAGTTAATAGTTAATCAAGAGAGGAAATAAATATTTTAATCTACCTTATTATACATTAAATAAATATGTGATAAGCGTTTCAGTCAGTGGACAGCACAGCTTGAAACTACATAAATTACATAGCTAATAAATACATAAACATACATACTGTTCAGCTCAGCTGTAATTTTGATTAACAATCAGATGAATAATACAATGCACAGCAAACATGTGGCCTATTAAGCCTATTATGAATGTTATTTTTATGATAAAAAAAGTCCCCACTGAAGTGTCCTGATTAGCAGATATAGATAGATAGATAATTAGCTGTTCTTGTGATGACAGTTGCCCACCGATGTTAGTGTTGTCACCTCAGAAGAGGCCGTTTCTGGTGGTGTACTGTACATTGTAAGATCTTCGTCTGTGCCAGCGTCTCCTTACAGCTGCACAGCAGCCACATAGCATGCACTGCAAAACAAAAATGGGGAAGTATGATTCACATGCAAAATATCATTGCAGAAATTAAACAGCTTATTTGATGAAATACTTTGTAAACTATTTTCACAGTACACATGTGAACACAAGCCTATACGTACACATAGCAGGATCCACAGGGGTACCAGAATGATAGCGATGCCACAAGGGATGATAATGGCCAAAGCCCAGCCAGGAAAACCTCCAACACTTGTGGTACTGGTAGTTGTTGTTGGGGCAACAGTGGTGGTCAGGAGACCTAGAATATAAATGAAAATATATTTTAGAGGGAATATAAACTTGTAATATGTCATATAACATAGATATATAAGTGTTTTCGAGATTGATTATTACACACGTTACATGGTGTTTGATAACTCACTGTCATAAAAATCATAGAAATGACAAAAGCAGCATACCTGAGACTTTTAAGACTTCCTGTAGTAAACCACTAGGGAGGTTGACATCTTCCTCTTTGTATACATATATCACATTTGCCCTGATTTGAGTGCCATCAGCGCTGTGGACGTAAAAATGGGTTTTGTGTGAGAGTTGAACATGTTCCCTTCATCCTGTTTAGCTGTACAAACAGCAGCTGTATGAAATCTGCAGAAATTCTAAAGAGTGCAGTTGAGAACGCTGGGTTGGTTCACGGGCATGACGTTGTACTTACATGAAGTTGGCTTGGGGAAAGGGAAACTGTTTGCCGTCTGGTTCACTGAGAATTGTATGGAGCTAAAAGGGGACAAAACATCAAGTTGTCAATTACTATCGTGACCTGAACATGACCATGGATGTATATTTTGTATAGAAGCACAGTATCTTACTAGTCTGTTAATTGAATCCTGTATCTGGACGTAGGTCTCATTGGTGAATGTGAGTCTATTACTTAGAGACTCCAGGGTTACATTGGTGATTTTGAAACCAAGGTCGATGGCAAATGAAGTATCTGTAAGTTCTGTGAGCACACAAAAAAAAGGTCACTATAGCAACAGACAAAATGAACTGCTACAACTTTTTATTTTTTTTATTTTTTTCTTCTTTGGGTAGATCAGCTTTAATATTGCCGATAGATTGTAACGTCCATCAATGTAATTGTCTGCATCACTTCCAATCCCCCATATGTTTTTTTTCTCACAAATATATGTATATATATATACACACACATATATATGTACACACACATATATATGTACACACACATATATATATATATATATATATATATATATATACACACACATACATATACATATCCTTTTTAAAAAATATATTTCCTGAACTGTTACAACTTAGGAGTTTCAACAACATTGAAAAACATTCAAGTAGAATTTAGATAGCAGGAGCAATTGAATGTTTACTTATTAAGAAATTATTTTATAGAGTGGAAATAAATGTCTTTATGATATAAGCCTCATTTGTTGAACTCACTGATATAAGTTGCATTCTGGTAGGTGGTTTGAGTGGTCCTGAATTGACGAGACAGTTGATTCTTGATGGCACCAAGGACAGCATCCTCAGTGGGGACTGGTTTTTTGAGCTGGAACATCAGTCTAACAAAAACCACCACTGTGCCAAATCTAAGAGAAAATAATAATAAATGGAAAAGTACATTTCCTAAAGAAAATGTGTGTGCTTGCTAGCTTGTCTTAAAGTATTTATTGTTGTGAAATAAGTTATAGTAATGGTAGTAACTGGTTGTAATTGGAAAAAGTAGGTAGATGGAAATATTGATTGATTGATATGATATGATAAGATAGGATAGACTGAAAGTTGGTTAGGTCTCTCTAGATTGAACGGTTCAAGAGTTACTATTATTTTTGGTGGGTTATTATATGCTAATTTATACTAATTTCAATTGTTATAGTTTATAAAGTTTTGAAAATGTTAAAGCTGTTTTAAATATTTGTAGCTGAAATGGTTAAGGAGCAGCAGCATTTTAAATGTTTACCACTGCGTTCTCATGGTTGGCATTGAATCCATGAAGTGTTATGCTAATTTATGCAAATTAATTGCTTAATGTTTATACAAGTTTTAGAGATTTTGAAGCTTTTGACAAGCTATCAAAGATGGGTCAGTCTGTACATTGGTCTTTGTAACATCAATGGTTTAAGAGAAGTGGCGAATCCAAATATTTCCCATGAAAGACTATGGAGGTTTTATGCAACTTTAAAATGGTTATAGTTCAACAAGTATAAATAGTATCAAAAGATGTATAAAAGCAATCTAAGTTTGGTCAGTCTGAACATATCAACGTTGGTTTGGTGTTGATAGCTTAAACGGTTTAGGAGGAGTAGCGTGGCCAAATGTTCCCCATGTAATCTCCTGAGTGGCGCAGTGGTCTAAGGCACTGCATCGCAGTGCTAGCTGTACCACTAGAGATCCTGGTTCGAATCCAGGCTCTGTCATAGCCGGCCGTCAGGGATGTAGCTCAGTTGATAGACCATGGCGTTTGCAACGCCAGGGTTGTGGGTTTGATTCCCACAGGGGGTATGAAAAAAGATAAAAAAATAAATATGTATGCATTAACTGTAAGTCGCTCTGGATAAGAGCGTCTGCTAAATGACTAAAATGTAAGTCTATGTCCCTTAATATTGCCATTGGGAGCTGATTTGAAATATTGTTTGATTTGATTTATTATGATCCCCATTAGGCGACAGCTAGTCTTACTGGGTTCCGACATATAACGAAAAATACATAACAGACAAAATACTTTACAATTTACATACATGTAAAAACATTCACGTGTGTGTGTGTGTGTGCATCTGTCAGTTAAACATACATGTCAGTACATACACACAACAAGTAGGTCACAGGGGAGAGGCGTTGTGCCGTGATGTGTTGCTTTATTAGTTTTTTGTTGTAGTACGAAAAGTATAAATGCTATCTAAAATATTTTTGAAAGCAATCTAAGTTTGGGCCGTCTGCAGATTTGAAAGTTGGTTCCGTGTTTATAGCTTAAAGTGTTTAAGTGCGTAAGTATGTAAGAAATCTAGTGGTCTTGCCTTCAGCAAGCACATTAATAATAATGGATTGGATTTATATCGCGCCTTTCGACCGACTGAGGTACACAAAGAGCTTTTCTAAAGAAAGGCTGACATTTTGGGATGCTTTTATGAAAACATCAGTAGTTAACGACACAAGCATGGATATACATGGTTAATTGTTGCAAAGGTTCCTTGATTGACAAAGTGTTAATTGCATTGTATAAAATAATTATACAAAATTATCTTGCTTACCTAGTTGTTGATGTCACTGAAGCTGTAGAAGTTGAGGTATAAGTTGCAGTTGTGGTTGTCGAGGTAGGAAGTACAATTGTGGTTGTACTTCTAGGTGCTGCAGTTGTAGTCGTTGTTGTAGGTGCTGCAGTTGTGGTGGTGGTTGTAGGACCTGCAGCATTAATTATCGTAGTAGAAGCAACAGTGGTGGTGGTGGTTTTAAGAGCTGGAGTTGCGATTGTTGGAGCTGCATTTGTGGTTGTCGTAGGAGCTGCAGTTATCGTAAGAGCTGCAATTATCGTAGTAGGTGTTGCAATTGTAGTGGGCGTAGAAGCTATAGATGCCATTGTAGGAGCTGAAGGTGTGGTCGTTGTAAGAGCTGCAGTTGTAGTTATCATAGTAGGTGCTGCAGTTTTAGTGGTCATATGAGCTACATTTGCTGTAGTAGGAGCTGTAGTTGTGGTTGTTGTAGTAGGTACAGCAGGTGTAGTGGTCATAGGAGTTACAGTTATTGTTGTAGGAGCTACAGTCGTTGTTGTAGTAGCTGCAGTTGTCGTGGGAGCTGCAATTATCGTAGGAGCTGCAGTTGTTGTAGGAGGTACAGTTGTCATTGCAGGTGCTGCTTTTGTGGTGGTCGTAGGAGCTACAGTTGTTGTAGTAGGAGCTACAGTTGTTGTTGTAGGAGCTGCAGTTGTAGTTGTCATAGTAGGTGCTGCATTTCTAGTGGTCGTAGGACTTACAGTTGTTGTGGTATGAACTGCAGTTGTAGTGGTCGTAGGAGCTACATTTGTTGTTGTAGCAGCTACAGTTGTTGTAGGACTTACAGTTGTTGTCGTAGGAACTCCAGTTGTCATTGTAGGAGTCACTGTTGTAGTGGTCGTAGGAGCTACAGATGTTTTAGTAAGAGTTGCAGTAGTCGTAGGAGCTGCAGTTGTGGTTGTCGTAGGAGCTGCAGTTTTAGTGGTCGTAGGACCTCCATTTGTTGTCGTATGATACAAAGTTGTTGTAATAGAAGCTACATTTGTTGTCGTTAGAACTGCAATTGTCATAGGAGCTGCAGTTGTCATAGTAAGTGCTGCAGTTGTGGTGGTCGTAGGAGCTACAGTTCTTGTCGTAGGAGCTGCAGGTGTGGTTGTTGTAATAGGTACTTCAGATGTAGTGGTCGTACGAGCTACAGGTGTTGTAGTAGGGGCTGCAGATGTAGTGGTTGTAGGAGGTACAGGTGCTGTAGTAGGTGCTGCAGTTGTGTATGTCGTAGGAGCTGCAGTTGTCATAGGAGATGCAGCTGTGGATGTCCAAGAAGCTGCAGTTATGGTTGTCATAGCAGCTGCCTTTGTTGTAGTAAGAGCTGCAGTTGTGGTTTTCATTGCTGCTATTGTTGTGGTAGGAGCTGCAGTTATGGTTGTTGGAGTAGGTTCTGCATTTGTAGTGGTCGTAGAAGCCAAATTTGTCATAGGAGCTACATTTGTTGTAGTAGGAGCTGAACTTGTGGTTGTCGTAGCAGATGATGCTGTTATAGTGGTTGTAGGAGCTACAGTTGTTGTAGTAGGAGCTGCACTTGTGGTTGTCGTAGTAGGTGCAGCATTTATAGTGGTCACAGGACCTACAGTTTTTGTAGTAAGAGCTGCAGTGGTTGTCGTAGGAGCTACATATGTTGTAGTAATAGCTGTAGTTGTGGTTGTTGTGGTAGGTACTGCAGTTGTACTGGTTGAAGGACCTACAGTTGTTGTTGTAGCAGCTACAGTTGTGGTTGTTGTAGTAGGTACCACACTTGTAGTGTATGTAGGAGCTACAGTTGTTGTTGTAGTAGGAGCTGCACTTGTGGTTGTCATAGACGCTGCATTTGTGGTTGTCGTAGCAGGTGCTGCATTTATAGTGGTCCTAGGAGCTGCATTTGTGGTTGTCGTAGGGGCTGCTATTGTGGTTGTCGTAAGAGCTGCAGTTGTCTTAGTTGGTGCAGCAGTTGTATTGGTCGTAGGACCTACAGTTGTTGTTGTAGGTGCTGCAATTGTAGTAGGCATATAAGCTACAGATGCTGTAGTAGGAGCTGCAGGTGTGTTTGTCATAGGAGATGCAGTTGTAGTTATCGTAGTAGGTGTGACAGTTGTAGTGGGCATAGAAGCTACAGATGCTGTAGTAGGAGCTGCAGGTGTGTTTGCCGTAGGAGATGCAGTTGTAGTTATCGAAGTAGGTGCGGCAGTTGTAGTGGTCGTACGACCTACATTTGTGGATGTCGTAGGAGCTACGGTTGTGGATGTGGTAGTAGCTGCAGTTGTGGTTGTCATAGCAGCTGCCATTGTTGTAGTAGCAGCTGTAGTTGTGGTTGTCATAGGAGCTGCAGTTGTGGTTGTCGTTGCAGGTGCTGCATTTATAGTGGTCTTAGGAACTGCATTTGTGGTTGTGTTCGGGGCTGCTGTTGTGGTTGTCATAAGAGCTGCAATTGTTGTAGTAGGAGCTGAAGTTATGGTTGTCGGAGTAGGTTCTGCAATTGTAGTGGTCATAGAAGCTAAAGTTGTCATAGCAGCTTCATGTGTTGTAGTAGCAGCTGAACTTGTGATTGTCGTAGCATATGCTGAACTTGTAGTGGATGTAGGAGCTACAGTTGTTGTAGTAGGAGCTGCACTTGTGGATGTCATAGACGCTGCATTTGTGGTTGTCGTAGCAGGTGCTGCATTTATAGTGGTCTTAGGAGCTGCATTTGTGGTTGTCTTCGGGGCTGCTATTGTGGTTGTCATAAGAGCTGCAATTGTCGTAGTTGGTGCTGCAGTTTTATTGGTCACCGGAGCTACAGTTGTTGTTGTCATAGGACCTACAGTTGTTGTAGTAGGAGCTGTAGTTGTGGTTGTTGTAGTAGGTACAGCAGGTGTAGTGGTCATAGGAGTTACAGTTACTGTTGTAGGAGCTACAGTTGTTGTTATAGTAGCTGCAGTTGTCGTGGGACCTGCAATTATCGTAGGAGCTGCAGTTGTTGTAGGAGGTACAGTTGTCATTGCAGGTGCTGCTTTTGTGGTGGTCGTAGGAGCTACAGTTGTAGTGATAGGAGCTGCAGTTGTGGTTGTTGTAGGAGCTGCAGTTGTAGTTGTCATAGGAGCTACATTTGTTGTTTTAGCAGCTACAGTTGTTGTAGGACCTACAGTTGTTTTCGTAGGAACTCCAGTTGTCATTGTAGGAGTCACTGTTGTAGTGGTCGTAGGATCTACAGATGTTTTATTAGGATATGCAGTAGTCGTATGAGCTGCAGTTGTGGTTGTCATAGGAGCTGCAGTTTTAGTGGTCATAGGACCTACATTTGTTGTCGTATGATACAAAGTTGTTGTAATAGAAGGTAAAG